TTTTTTTTACTTTTTTGTTTTTATCAGTACCAGGGATCGAACTCATGACCGCACACATGCAAGGAAGGCACTTATGCTGCTGAGCTAAATCCCCAGCCCCTTGCAATCCTAGATTTTTAAAGATGTTTTTGAGCTAGTTTCTAGAAGAGTGTCTTTTTTTCTTAAAAATATACCTTAAAGAAGTGTTTTGTGTATTTGTGTAGTGGTAGAGATTGGACCCAGAGCCTTCACACTGAGCTACGTCTTCATACTTTAAAAACTGTTAAGTTTTAAGACAGAATCTCACTAATTCACTATGTTACCCAAGGTGTGCTCAGACTTAAAATCTTCCTGCCTCAGTCTTCCAGAGTGCTGGAATAATAGGCTGTACCAGCAGGCCTGGCTTGGATTAAAGACTGTTTTTAAAAATTTTCATTAATTTGGGAACTACTCTTTCTAGAACTGCTTAACTCTACAAAGCAGATCAGAGTTCCTTACTGTGAGACAGATTAATTAATGTATATTGTAGGGAATAAGGAAACATGTCATAGATATCCAACAAAAGGGCAAGCTTACTTCAGTACAGACAGACATACACAACTGTTCAGGGTGTCAGATCTATGATTTCGGCCACAAGCTGAGAATAAAATAACTAGAGTCCTGATCTCATAAAAGAGCCAAATATTCTTAAATTATTAAAGCTCTTAAAACACTAAAAGAAACAAACCATCTCTCTCCTTACTTACTGAAGTGATAACAGGCTGACAATTATCAAGTGGACCATAAGCACATAGTCTCAACCATTGCCTGTTCTCAGTGAGTATGAATGTTCTAATTTTTTTTTTATTTTAAAGAGGATAAAACAAACTAGTGTAAGAGGTACAGACGTAAAAACATTACAAAATCAGCAATGGTTACCATAATGCCTTTTGATGTCTTCAAAATAGCTGCAGATAACTTTGGACATAGTAAAAATTAAACAATACAGAATAGAATAGAAACAAAAACAATGAATGCAATAAAGGACTTCAAAATAAGCCAATAAATCCAAAATTCTACTATAATATATCTTGATTACCTTTGAAGTAGCTGCTCCTGCAACTGGATTTGACATAATCAAAACAATAAGAGGGTAAGACTCAACCTAACAAAACAATGGAAACAACATAGGACTTCCAAAACAAGACCACAGGAAATCAACAATGGCTGCAACCCTCAGGAGATCCCCACTAGATGTCACACTGCATACCACTATCCTCTGAACCCATGGTGAGACCACTGGCCATAGATGTTAGTGTTAGTGTTGCAATGTTAGTGAAACAACAAAGCACCACAGGCTTCTAATTGCATTTCACCTCCAAAACTAACATCACAGCCTTTGTGTGTCTCTAGATAAGATGGTCACTTATGGTGGGTGGACAGGTGTGGATATGCTGCTTCTTGTTTGCCAGCCCATGCGCTGGAAGGGGCTGGGGTCTGGCTGTTCTAGTCTGGCAGGGTGCACACACAGCGCTGCTTCCCAGACTGGGTTTCTGTGCTCCCTGATATGTCCTTTGTCGTCTCTACCCCTGGTAAATAGTGCTGACTCAGGGACAGAGGCTGGCGTCTGGTTGTTCCAGTCCCCCAGGGGTTGCCACTCATCCCCAATCAGTATGAATTTATGAACTATCCCTGAACCAGAAACAAAACACAGACTCAGTAGAGAGTAGAAAACCTACATAAATACAGTCAAGAAAATTTAAAGTCTTTGCCATCTGTGTTGTACTCTAAGAAAATAGCTTCGTTATATGTGTATTATAGCAAACCTGCAAACATGGCTTACTAAATGTGTTTTTTTTTATCCTTTTTCCCTAACTGATATGTTAAGTGACCTAATTGATATGTTGAGCAATACTCTCCTCTGTAAAGAATTGCAAGAATCTCACCTAATTGATATGTTAACCATTGTTGCCCTCTACAAACTACAGAAGTTGTGCTAAAACAAGCTAACAAGGGTTGTTAATCACTGTTAGGCGCCTCTATTCTCCGCTAAAGAGCTAAAGAAAACTAGAATGGCCCATTAATTTACACTTGTTTAAAGTAACCTGCTTGTGTTCAGAGAGATTTGCATATGAGTTTAACCCTTTACCTGACCTTGACACATAACCACCGTTCTCTGTTCTGTATGGCGCCTTATTGCCTCCCTCTCCCCTCACCTATCTATCTAGGCCATAAAGAATTTGGGTTTCTGGTGACCTCTTCCCGACCCGGTGATGATCTGTCATAAAATGAGCCTGCCCCAAATTTTAAGAACTGTTTAGCTTCAAAGAAATTATTGGGAAATACTATGGCCCAAACCCCAATTGGTGCTTTCCTTTTGTTCTGTATGCATCAAATGAGTTAGATATCAGATCTTTGTAAAACTTAAGTTTCAGCTTCTTGTAACTCTTGACCCCTTCGCACCCACTAGGGAAAACGAGCTGTCCTGGGATAATTAACTGTCCACTTTCTTCTCCAAATATTGCTGCAGATGTGCCACTCCAAGATAATGTCAGTCTGTAGGATGGGAGTAATTTGAGAAACACCAGGAACTCCCGAGATTGTCAGAGCTAAGTGGACAGCAATACAGTTTCCAGACTCGGGTCAACAAGTTTGATGGCTCTGCAGGTTTCTTTGTTTCTCCCCCCACCCTTTTCCTCCAGCCTCTTTTTAAAGTCCTCCCTTCAGTCTCTGGGACACAGTCTCCAAATTGGCTCCCGGAGACTTGTCACCAGGCCTGGAAATAAAGCCTTTGCTACCTAAATTTTCGGTCTCTTGTTTCCTTGGATTTTATACCTGGGCACGAGTTATAACAATCTGAAGGTCATTTTGAGCGCTAAGCAAAGATGCCTTGGCCTAAGTAGATAGATCTTTTAAGCACTATCCTCGATCAGTGAAGTTTGGTTATTTCTGGTGAGTCCTTTGTGAGTATCTAAGTCCATGCCTTGTAAAACTGGTAATATATAGTTTTTGAGATAGCTCGGACCCCGGAATAAAATCCAAGGAAGCAAGAAATTTGGGAGCAAAGGTTTTATTTCAGGCCTGGCGACACAGCCTCCTCAGGATTGACCCAGAGACTGCGCGCCTAACAGACTAAGGGAGGGATATTTAAAGCTAAAAACTGCAAAGCTGTAAAGCTGTTGACTTAGTTCTGATAACATCTGGAACTCCTGGTGCATTCCGCTACTCCTACCCTGCGTGGTTAAACATTATCTCAGAATAGCACACCTGCAATAACATGCAGAAAGAGGGTAGGGGAGTTAATTATCTTGGAGCAGCTTGCTAGCAATAACATTCGGAAAGGGGTAGGGAGTTACAAGAAGCTGAAACTTAAGCTTTTACAAGGATTAGAAACTTAACCCTATTGAGACGGCACATACAGAACAAGACGGAAGGAAGCGCATGGGTTAGAGTTAGGCCAACAATTTTCAAGGTGGTAAAATTATGATGCACAGAAATACAAAATGAGCATAGTAAAAATTTAACTTAGCTGGGTGTGTACCTGGAGGCTGAAACTGGAGAATCACTTGATCTCACAAGTTCAAAATCAGTCTGGGCAGTTTAGCAAAGTCCGTATTAAAACAAAACAAACAACAAAAATAATAAAAATACATTTGCCTCATTGATCAAAGAGGGAACCAATAAGATTTTAAACCAATTTCCAGCAACTAGTTTAAAGCTTAAAATCTAGGTAATCTCAAATTCTTCTTTTAACAAAAAAATGATCTTCAAAATATGTTTATATTTCATAAAGGACACAATTTTTAAAATTGGATTCAATACCCAGATTTTTCCTTTAGGTTTCTTTTAAATGGCTTTAGAAGTCTACTTTTTCAATATCTGCATCATATATATAGAGAGAGAGTTCCTTTTATTGCTGGAGATACTTAGTCATGAAACTTTCAATGTCAAGATTTTGGATGAGATTTTATTTGCTTGATGTGAATCAGTCAAGAGCAGAGAAGTAAGGAAATCAGAAATCACAAAATAGAACAGACGTGTGTGTGTGTGTGTGCATGTGCGTGTGCGTGTGCGTGTGCGCACGTACACATGCAAACACACTGAGGAATCAGTCCTAAGATCTTGTACAGGCTGAGTACTTTTGAACACTGAGCTACATCCCTGCCTGAAAGTGCATAATTTTAAAGTGAAATATGAAGTATGTAATATCTTGTTCCTACCTGTGCTGCCTCACAAATAAGTTTTTACTATGTTCAATCAATTCTAAAGTCCATATTTTTCATATTAATATCTTAGAAATCTGGATAAGCTCTATGTTAACAGCCATTGGCTATTTCTTCACACTTATAATTGATGGCATCATAAATGAAATGTATTTTTGTGTCATGGAAATGCTATTCCATGACATAATAAAAATATTAAGGGAGATGATACATAGCTTAGATAAGAATATTAATGAAACTATGTCTAGCATTCCAGGTTACAATTCAGGCTTTGAATACAATTGTTAAATGAATCTCAGGTTGGCCATGAACTCAAAATCCTTCTGCCTCAGCCTAAGGCAGAACTAACCCTAAAAGAAACTATTTTCCTTTACAAAATAATAGGTATGTCTCTGGGCCTAAGGTATGCAAAGGTAAACAAAGGAGATATAGCACTGAACAAGAGAAACATTGTATAGAAGTAAACCAAGGGTATAGGTTTTAGTGGTTGTGTGTGTGTGGTACTACAGATCTAATCCAGGAGCATTCTACCACTGTACTACATCCCCAGCCTGCCTGCTTTCCTTGCTCTCTCTCTCTCTCTCTCTCTCTCTCTCTCTCTATATATATATATATATATATATATATATATACACACACACACACACACACACACACACACACACACACATATTTTCCTTTCTGCTGAACCTAGTCTTGTGATCCTCCTTCCTTACCCTCTGGAGAGCAGGGATTATAGGCATGTGTCACCATACCAGCACACAAGAATCATCTTAAATTTTCTAACAGTCACAGTAGAAAAAATATATACAGGTGAAATCAGTCTTAAGAATATATTTTAGATAGCTCAATTTATCCACAGGGCATTTCAACAAAATATACTTTTTTTTTTTACACTTTTATACTTTTAAATGATTAACATTTTACATTCCGCCTCTCTAAGTTTCCAAAACAGGGTGTGCATTTGGAGCATATTTCAATTCAGGCTGGCCACAATTCAAGTGGCACAATTCAGGTGACTCTCTTTGGCATTTCAGGTCTACAGAGAAAGATAAACGTGCAAATCAGCATTAGTGTTTTGTAGGTACCTCTCTTTAGAAGGGGGATTTTTTGTTGTTGTTGTTCTTTGAAGACACAAATTGTATCAAACTCCAAACCTACCAGAATATTCAATAAAAAGTAACCATTATTATTTTATGGTGCTGGAGATCAAATTCAGGGCTTTGTGCATGCAAATGTACATGATCCACCCATGATCTAACCGCACCAGCTTCCATGTCTCAACAATTTCAGCTAAAATACATGCTGGCAAACTATGTTCTATTTTCCAGCTTTTCTAGCTATACCTTCATGACAACCAGAAAGCCAGGTTCAAATTTAGACTGACTGGAATTCTTAGGAGTCCCACACTGGAAAACTGCAGAGTAGAATCAGCTGTCTCTTGGGGTGTCTCCATCTAGTCCCACTCCTGGCATCTATATCACAGTAGGGTGTAAGCCTATGTGGATATCTCAGACTATACTCGAAGCTCTTCGGATACCGAACTTAGAGCACTTGTGGAAGTGAAATATGGAGCCATTTGTGTAGGGAACTCCAGGTAGATGAGAGTTTATGATCAACAATCATTACAGGAAGAAAAAATGATCCCAAAAAGATAGTGTGATATAAAAAAGGAAATAGTTAAATAAATTAATGAACTTATAGGTAAAAAAAAGGGCCCATATTGATGATAATAAAATAATGTTTATGTTAGGACAGTAAACTAAACTACTAGAAAAAAAAGTTAAAAAGAGGGTGACTGGAGTGTTCCAAAGTTCTTATGTTGTGGACAAAGAGAGTTCTATTAACTTTAGATTTTCTTTTTCAGTCCTAGGGACTTTTAAAATGAAGGCCTTCACATTCAGCTATATCCACAGTTTTTTAAAATTGATTGATTTATTAAGCCCGGGCCTTTTCACTGAGCTGCATCTTCAGCCCTGTTTTAAAAATTTTATTTTGAGACAGGATCGCGCTAAGTTGCTCAAACTGGGTTCAAAGTTGCCATTTTGCTTGCTTCAGCCTCACATAGTTCTGGGATTAGAGACGTGGAGTACACCAAACTAACTTCAGAAATTTTTAAGTATACAAGGTAAATTTCAAAATAGTCACCAAAATAACAGAATTGTAGTTTGTAACTTATAAATTCAAATACTTTTAAATAGAATGAACCCCGATTTTAAACAGGAAAAATCATCAGAATTATAAAGATGATGAAATCCATAATCATAATACGATCAACATAGTCCACGTTTCATTATGTAAATAGTGCTTCTCCAAATCATAAAATAACACTTTACAGGATGCCAATTCTTTTTTAATAGGTGGTCAAAAACACAAGTGTAAAAGATAAGAACACGTTAATGAAAATAGCTAGCATCTTGGAATTCTGCAGGAAGTTCCCAAAATGCTTTATTCAAAAAGTAATTTCCAAATATTTTAATTACTGATAGCACGGTCTCAGGGACAGAGGAAACAAAAGTAGCGTGAAAATCCCCTTACTCTAAAAATGCTTATTTTGAACACTTAGTATCCAGAAGCAGGCATTCTACTAATTAACCCCCCCCTTCCCGCCTCCAAACTACAGAGTGCCAAAAACTATTTTTTAACCGCATTTGAAAATTTACATGTTACTTAAAACTGACTTACATAAAAAAGGTTGAAAATGGGCGCAGGCAGCGAGGACACCTATGAGAAATCCTAAGGGTCCTGCTTCGCCCTTCAGGCGAGAATGTAGTCAGCTATGCCTGGCGTGGAAGGGCCCTGAGGAGGGGCGTCTGCGCAGGCGCGCGGCTCCTAACTTTACCCAGGGGCTTGCTGGGTTCTGTCTCTTTGGCTCTGCGACATGGTGGGTATAGGTTGTCCTTTTGGAGCTGTCCGAAGGGGTACAGGAGAGACAAGGTGGTGTGCTGTTGAGTGCTTTGGTCGCCATATACAGTTGTCTGCTGAGTATTAGAGAGTGATTAAATTAAGACGCGGGCCTTGGAATGTTTGTGAGAGCTCGGAGAATGTATTACTCAGCGTTCCCTGCAGAGCTCGCCGCCTTAGTAGCGGCTTCTAATTTTGTGTAGGCTTCTTCCTTTTGGGCGGGCCTGCTAGGATTTAGCGGTCCGATTTCTTAATCCTAAAAAGCCGAGGCTGATTCGTTACTTATCCCATTCTATACATATATAGCTTTAAATATTTTACTTACATTTGATTTTTGGCTCAAGGAAATCCAAAAGTCATTAGTAAAAACCTCTGGGTTGAAGTCTGTAAATTTTAAATTGGATCGCCCGGAAATTTGCTGCCCGGTCATACTTGTTAATCGTGAGGATCTACTTAGTAACTGCAGTGTACTTTTAGTTACGAAGATGTAGGTGCGTGAAAACCAGATCAGTACCTGTAGCAAATACAGAGCCTCTGGTTAGGGCGAACATGGGAGCCAAGACTGCTTACTGGTAACTTGTAATTTAGAGGGAGCACAGAAGTTCCCGTGGAACCTGATTTTTTATAAGCCGAAATTTGTCTGCAAATTTTGGCTAGTCAGACCAAAAATAAAAATTTCCCTTTTTTTGTGCGTTGTACGACATACTAACTTATTGGTAAGCTTTGATACTTTATAGTGTTTATTTAACTGACTGAAAGAATAAATATCAAATGCAGGTGGTAATTTTTGGGTCAGTGATGAGATGGCATGTATTCTGAATCTAAAGTTGATTATTACTGCTTTAGCTCTAGAATTACTCTGAGACCTGAAAAATACCTGAATTTGGTTAAGTATTAGTACATTTAACTGCTTTTTTCCCGTGTGTTGAATATATGCTAAGAAGCAGGATATAAAATGTGGCTAAAACACATCTTTTTATTTTGAAAGGGCACGCCACAGAAGGATGTTACTATCAAGTCTGATGCACCCAACACCCTTTTACTGGGGAAACATGCGGATTATATTGCATCCTATGGGTCAAAGAAAGATGATTATGTATGTATAATTTTATATTAAAAAGCTTCTCGTAAAAAGAGGTATAAGCAGTAGGGCAATATTTATGTACTGATCTTCCCAGTAATTAGAGGCATTGCCAGAGCAGAGGGTAGATCAGGATTTTGGGATACAAAATTGGTCCCTGTCTTTATAATTGGGGTAATACTTTCAAGGTCAATGATGTATTGGCATGTATTATCTGATTTACTGCTGATGTGTAATAACACTTTAGCTCTAGAATTACGCTGAGACCTTGAAATGAGTTTACCTGAAGTTTAAATACTTAATAACTTTCTTTTCTGGGAGAGTCTTAGATTATTTTGCTTAACTCATTTTTCTCTGGCTTTTGGTCGATGTTAAGCTCTATTTATAGTAATGCTAAGTTTGTAACTTTGAAATATGAAATATGTCTTGTCAAAAATTCAAAGTAACCCATTTAAGAAATTACTATTTTAGGAATACTGCATGTCTGAGTACTTGAGAATGAGTGGCATTTATTGGGGCTTGACAGTAATGGATCTCATGGGACAACTTGATCGCATGAATAGAGAAGAAATTCTGACCTTTATTAAATCGTGCCAACATGAGTGTGGTGGAATAAGTGCCAGCATTGGGCATGATCCTCATCTTTTGTACACTCTTAGTGCTGTCCAGGTAACTTTCAAATTCTGTCTTGATACTGTTTTCTGGGAGTCAGGAGTTGAAATTGTATTAGGAAGAGGACAGAATAAATTTTGTTGATCAAGCCTGTTCTGCAAGGTCAGTGATGTCATGGCATGTATTAGCTGAATGTGCAGTTGATGTGAATTCTGAAATTACCCTGAGACCTTGGCGAAGTTAGTTTAATTACCTTTGATATATGAGACTTGGAAATAATTGGTTTTATTTTGATATTAATGGATGTACACATTATGGTTTAAAAATCCAAGTACTGGGCCTGGGTATGTAGCTCAGCGGCATAAGCGCCTGCCTTGCAAGCAGACAGTCGTGAGTTCGATTCCCGGTACCGATAAAAAGGAAAAAATAAAAAAAATCCAAGTACTTTAGAATGCCAAGTTTATATGTAGAAAAATGCTTTAAATGTTTGGAAATATTGCTAAAATGTTTTAATTTTATTGAATAACCATATAGTCTACATATTTGAGAATAGCTGACAATATTAAACTGAAGTGTTTCCTTTGACAAGTTAGCATAGCAATAGAATGAACTTGAAAAGTTATTTACTAAATTACTTGTCTTTCATATTACAGATTCTTACTCTGTATGATAGTATTAATGTTATTGACGTAAATAAAGTGGTGGAATATGTTCAAAGTCTACAGAAAGAAGATGGTTCCTTTGCTGGAGATATTTGGGGTAATGTCAGATTTAGTCTTTGCTACCCTAAATTTAATACTAAAACGTTCTGGCCTTGGTAGTGACCAGTTGATGAGCAGATTTAAGTTTTTCATCTTTTCAGGTCCCACTAAGCAGCTGGTCTAACTGGAGTTAATGCCCCAGCATGCTCTGTGGTAGTTATAGCAGCATACAGGAGCACTGGAACAGAGGGGCCAATCTAAAACATACGGTAGGTGAAATATTTTCCCCGCATATTGGGTAACTTTAAAATTAAACATGCTAAAAGGGAAAAATAAAAAATTTTTACAAAATTACTATTTGATGGAGAGAGTGACTCAGATTTTATTTGGTAAATGTAGATAATCTCTGCTTTAGGGCTGAACACAGTACAGGCCAGAGAGACCAGCTGCTTCATGGGATGTGAAAATCTACTTTTATAAAATAGGGTAAGTTTATTTATGTTATTAGAAATTAACTAATGTTTCGCTTCAGTTTCTTAACTTTCTGATATAATTGTAAGTTTGAGATTATTTGCAGTTACTTTTGACAGTTTTCTGCTAGTTTCTTTAGGGATAAAGACATCTGAGATTGTGCTTCCTAATGTGATAGTTGCATAAGTTTTTTTTAGGAACTTGCAGTATGAATGATCAGAAGACTAGTAACATGTATGTTGACACTTTCATTTTAGGAGAAATTGATACAAGATTCTCTTTTTGTGCGGTGGCTACCTTGGCTCTTTTGGTAAGCTTTGATAAATTCTACATTGAAATGATTTCATCATCCATGAATACTCTGGAATTTAGTGGGGTTTTTTTTCCCCTCCCTTTTGTTTATAGGGCAAGCTTGATGCTATCAATGTGGAAAAGGCAATTGAATTTGTCTTATCCTGTATGAACTTTGATGGTGGATTTGGTTGCAGACCAGGTTCTGAATCTCATGCTGGACAGGTAATTTATAGAGATTATTAATGTAAAATAGACTGTGTTTGTAGTAAATTTTACTGTGTGTGGGATAGTACCGAAAAATTGTGTAATTGTTACTTAAGGAAATGTTTTTATAATATACATTACCCTGTTAAGTACTTCTGACACAAGCAAAGAAAACTAGGATAATAGTTAACCGAAATAACTTTGGGGGAGGCAGCTAAACCCCCACCCACCCCCACATCATGCTAGACAGCAGTCTTGACACCACTGAGCCACATCCTAGCTCTCTAGTGATGTTCATTTAGGTGAATTCAGTTCTAGCCTTGTCTGCTCTATGAGTAAGCAGATCTTAATGTCAGAGAACATAGGTAAACAGTTTTGAATAAGCTGTGAAGAGATTCTGACCATGTTTAAATACAAAATAGCTTTAGTAATTGAATAGTTGTTACCACCTTTACTTTCAAGAAACTATACACATGTACTTTATGTCTGTAATTTTAGATCTATTGTTGCACAGGATTCCTGGCTATTACTAGTCAGTTACATCAAGTGAATTCTGATTTACTTGGTTGGTGGCTTTGTGAACGACAGTTACCCTCAGGTGGACTCAATGGAAGACCAGAGAAGGTATTGTTTCTTAGCTGTGCTCTGTAGCACTTAGCTTTCTAACCTTTGGTAATTACTACTTTATCTTCACATTTTATGACTGTTCTTGTATATTGAGTTTTTCTCCCTTCCTCAATGAAGCATTCCACAATGTCAACTCTTGGAAAAAGTAGAACCTTCCTGGTTGAAATGATTGTGGATTCTGGTATCCCATTTCCATAAGTTCACTACTGGGTGCTCTACCGCATAGCTGCACCCTCTTTCTCAGCCTTGTGTTTTGTTTGAGCCAGGGTCTTGGAAAGTTTTCCAGGTTTGCCTTGTGTTTTTTGGACTTGGAAATGAGAAGCTCTTTGCAAACCTTTTAGTCACACATTAAAGGTTTGAAAACTGAGACTAGTGGCTTTACTTTTACACGTGCTGTATATGTCTATTATAGCTCTGAAAACAATTGATTTTACCAAATAATGGACTTTTTAAAAAGCTAGGCAGTTTTTTTAAAAACCCAACAGTTAATTGAGGGTTACTAATTTTTCTTCATGGCCTCTGTCCCATGAATTGGGACATGTTATCTGAGCTCGTGTGTCTAATTGTAAACTTTGCTTTCTCAATATGTATTTTGAGTACCTTAATGAGTAGGAAAATGGTGTCTAGATAGGATCTGATGTTTTTTAAATCCTGCAGAACTGTCAAAATTGCTTTAATGTGCTTGTGAATTTTTCAGGGCTCATTAACATGGAGAGCACTAGGGTATCATGTACACATGATCGCATTGTGAGGACCCAGGTTCTTGGCAAATTTCAAGTAGGTGCTACATGCACGAGAGTAACAAGTCCTTGTTGCTACCCTTAGGAAACAACATATGCCCATGGATTTCATGAACTGCTATTAGCCTGAGTTGTAAAGGGCTGAGTCAGGCATTAGCGGGGGTGCTACTCACTGAGTACCTGAAACAGCAGGGGCACCTATGACCTTGACATGGGCATTTTTTTTGCCAATCATCTATCTGGGCAAACGTTAGACACTTCATGTTCGTCCTCTTCCCCCTGTTTGGATATGAGATTAGATAGAATTTAAAATTATTTTTCAGCATAAGAAAACAAAGGAATAACATTGTGGCAACATTGGTGACCTTTCTCCCCCCCCCCCCTTTCAGTTGCCTGATGTGTGCTATTCATGGTGGGTTTTGGCATCCTTAAAGATAATTGGAAGGCTTCATTGGATTGATAGAGAGAAACTGCGTAGTTTTATCTTAGCATGTCAAGATGAAGAAACTGGAGGTTTTGCAGACAGGCCAGGAGACATGGTAAGTGTATTTCTGATAAGTTTGATTAAGTTGATTTTTTTCAGTGATGGGTTACTTTCATGGTTCTAGTGATTTGCAGAAGTGGATGTGGTGTAGTTTGGTGGGCCATGCAAGTGTTGCTTTGAAAAGGAGTATTTACCATTACTTCCATAGTAAAATATGAAGAAATTTATCACCTATTGCCAGAAATACTTAGAAATGGTTTTTTTTTAATAGTTGTCTTCATTTCTTAGTAGTGTAAATCCTTTTGTTTTTCTTAAATAGGTGGACCCATTTCATACATTATTTGGCATCGCAGGATTGTCGCTTCTGGGAGAAGAACAAATTAAACCTGTTAGTCCTGTTTTTTGCATGCCTGAAGAAGTGCTTCAGAGAGTAAATGTTCACCCTGAACTAGTGAGCTAGATTTGTTGATAGATGGAGAAAAGTATGTGTAGTAGTTTTTGCCATCTTAACGTTTCTGTTTTTAAAGTGCTTACTGAACCTAAAAATGTCTACTGTTGTTAATATTTTGTATATTGTGTTAAATTAATTTGAATAAATTATATAGTTATACATATTGTAAAATAAATTATTGTATTTTCAGCTTTTGTGAAGTGCTGTTTTGAGTATTTTCTTGTACATGTGTTTTATGTCTGCTTAGCAAACTTAGGGACTTGGGTTCTTTCTGCTTTTCTTTCCCATGTATTTCTTCAGTGTTCTATGAAAGTAAATGTATTAAGTTGGTTTTTGTCAAAAGTGTCACTGGTAAAAGTGGATAAATCCCATATATGAATTAAAACATGGGCAGATATGGGAATAATTTATAGGTTTGCCTATAATTACTCTGGGTTAGTGACAGTTAAGGTAAATGGCAGTGTACCATCTTGAATAGCTTTACAGTTTTCGACCTCAGAGCATTTTATTGAGTGTCACAGAAGAGGTGGTCCTCCCAGTAATGAAACAGTTTTCCATTGCCACAACAGGGACTATCAAAAAGAAATCTATGATTTTGTAGTCTGTACCTTATTGGAAGTTTACTAGAAATTGAATCCAGGGAACTGCCTTCTCTGCTTCATGCCTCCACCCAGAGTCTGATCCTACCATGCCGGACAGCCACAGAGATGCTATTTTGTGATAACTGTTTGCTCACAAGACATAGATAGGCACGCAAACCTTACTATACTTAGAAATGTGAGTGGGTAAAAAGCTGGTTGGAGATTTTTTTTAATGTAGTGGTAAGCTGCATTGAGTTGGGCTTTCCATGTGTCTGGGGGTAGCCAGTAGCAGATCCCTGGGGAGAGAGGGCCGGATGTGGGCCGTACTTCCGCCCGTCTGCGCCTGCGCGCTTGCGCGCCGTCTTCCCGCCCTTTCTGTGGGCCGGTACCCGCTCGCCTCGCGGCTCGCTGAGGGCCCTCGGCCTGGGCCAGGAGAAGCTCTGGAGATGCAGAGACCAGAGGGCTCCTCCACCACCCCGTCGGCCCCGGCAGCGGCAGCGTCTTCCTCGTCGTCCGGAGGGGCTCCCCCACAGCCTCCGCGCCTCTCTCTCCGGCCCCTGGAAGTGCCTGCCCACCGCCCTTGTGCGTGGGTCTCAACATCCTCCATGCCAGGCTCGTCCGGGGCCGCGGGCGATCGCAGCGCCAGCAGCAGTGGCTGCCCGGGTCTTTCTAGGAGCTGCCGGGCGCCACCAGGCAAGGATAGGGCTGGAGGCGGGGTCCTCTTAGCCGCCAGCTGCAGCCGCAGAGAGCTTGAAATGCAGTGGTACCTTGATTCATGAATGATTTTATTGGTTTGCAAACAGAAGCTTTTGGCAAAATTTTGTTTTTGCTTACAAACTCAACATGGAGAAATGGCCATATTTCCTACACAAACATGAATGCAGTGTGTTTTCCAAATTGTACAACAAACATTGTGAGTCAAGGCACATATTTGCCATCTAGCCCTTACTAACCCTTGGTACAGGAGAAGAATCAGGGTTATATATGAAGATTTGAGAGTTGTTGGGAAATACATGGAAATATAAAGCAAGAGAACAGATTTGCTCAGAGAAAATATACTGATTCATGAGAGAAAGTTTGAAAGTATAGAACCCTGAAAGCCAACAGTAAACAAGATCACAAGTATTGTATCTCGAAAAGGAAACCATTAAGTAGTTTCGAGAATCAAGGTATATAGTTGTTCAAAGGAAAAAAAAAAGAGCCCCCAATTTTCCCCCCAAGACTTACACAGAACACTGGCATTTTGAGTGCCTTGTTTTAAAATTTTAGCAATGTTTTAATATGGGTAATTTATCTTACCAGTTACCTAAAAAGAACTGAAGCTAAATTGAGCCTGAAACTGTTTAAAATACAATTTGCATGGCAGAAGTTTCAATGAAGAAGTCAGTGGAGGAAAGGGAGGTTAATAATTACTATACAAATTAAACATGTTTACTATATTTGAAGACTAGAAGGTAATTTGGTTTTTAGCAAAAGTAGTCTTGGTGAACTTGTAAATTCATAAGCCATATTAGCAGATTTTAGTACTAGATTATGTCATTAAGCTTGTCATAATGTTATTAAAAAATCTTTATCAGATTAAGTATAATAAGTAGATATGTTGGGGCTGGGGATTTAGCTCAGCGGCTTAAGCACCTGCCTTGCAAGCAGGTGGTCGTGAGTGAGTTTGATCTCCGGTACCAGAAAAAAAGAAAAAAAAAAAAGTAGATATGTTATAAATATTTCGATTAATACATCATTGTGTAATTTTAATCTTTAAGCATTAATTCTTAAATTGTTCAAATTTAGGTTCCCACTTTGGAAACAAAAGATCTTATGCAGCAAATGTAGTTACATCAAATTTTACTTTTGGTACCAGCTCATCTTCTGCACTAGAAACTAATTGTCCTCAAGTACCTAAAACTCCATTGTCTGCTGGAAATCCTCAGAGATCAGGTTATAAAAGTTGGACACCACAAATGGGATATTCAGGTAAAAATAGATTAATTGCAGTGATTTTTTTTAAACATTGAAAGTTTTGTAAATTATAAATTAGGGCAGTTCATTTGAAGTTATCTGAAACTGATGTGGATTATTAAGATAAATATACTAATTGGCCCAGTTCTGATATTGTTTGTACTAAATGCACATCAATAATATTTTAACCATTCTGACAAGAAAGCATTGGAAAGAGATCTCTTTGAAATATGACATTCATTTAAATCTAAAAGCTGATGTTGATAAAGATACAAAATGTTTGTTGATTTTGAGACAAGTCTTGCTGTGTAACCCAAGCTGGCCTTGAACTCCTGCCTCAGCTTCCTAGGTAGCTGAGATTACAGATGTGTGTCACTGCATGCCTGAGTGGTGGTTTTGGTTTGTTTTTATAGTCAAATTTCATTTTTTATCTAAATCTACTAGATTTTGTTTGTTTTGTTTTGAGACAGGGTTTTGCTGGGTAGTCCAAGGTGATCTCTTACTTGCTATGTCACCCAGGTTGGCATTGAACTCAAGATCCTCCTGCTTCAGTCTCTACCTAGTAGATTTTCTTAAGAGATAAATGGATGAAATAGGTTGTCATGCATAACAGTTTTCTAAGGTACATACAAAGAAACTTGGGCTGAGCTGCTGGATGTATAAAGTACATCACCTCTGCGCTGGCTGGGCCACCAGTATGTTCCTAGGCCATAGGTATTGAAATTTTAGTGCAGTAGTTGGAAAGGATTGGAGGAGTGGGCCCATAATTATGTAGATTAACTGCTGTGCTTAGTAAAAATGCTTAGTTGAGATTTGCAGACCTTCCTGCTTGGAGTCTGGGAATAGGCTTTGAGACTGAGGTGTGTGTAGCAGAGTGTAGCAGAGCAGCGGCCTGCTTGTAGTTGCTATTTGCTGTGGTAGTTATGTCTTTCTCTGGGTGAGGCATGAGAGTGGGCTTTGAGGCAGTGAGAGCACTGGTTAAGTTCCTGGGGGTGCAGCAACTGGTGCCTGTTTCTTGTACTTGCAGAGGTAGTCATGTTCCTGCTTCTATGGGGTCTGGGTAATTCTTTGTTTAGAAGGATCATGTCTCAGCTGTTTGCTCATCCATATAAATTTTGGACCACCGGGGTCGGGGGTTTAGCTCAGCGGCATAAGCGCCTGCCTTGTAAGCAGGCAGTCGTGAGTTTGATCCCTGGTACTGATAAAAAATGAAAAAGACAATAAATAAATAAATAAATAAATTTTGGACCACCAAAAAGCACATGGAGATTTTGATTGAAACTGCACTTGTGCTGAGGCAGTAAATGCATTAACCAACAACTGCAGTACTGAGTCTTTTTATTCCTGAATATTTCTTCATTTAAAGAATAGTGTGTTCAGGATATATGGTTGAACCAGATCACCTCAGAATTCCCTGACCTCATATACTGCTGACCCACCATGCTACAGAAGAAAAAAAAAAGACAAAACTGTAGGCAGAGCCCCTTTATCCAGGAAGGTTCACCTAGAGCCCTCTGCTTAAAGAACTTACACTGTGGTCCCTTTAAAGGAGACATGCTTACAGGAATTCTAACATCTGTTGATCTATTGTAAACCTTGTATTAAAAGATGATTGTGGAATGATAATAAATTAATAACTGCCCTTACTCCTTTGTCTACTTAACTTCTGTATATATGTGTGTTTTTATACACAACTGCCACCCAGAGAAAGGCATAAGCAGGCAGTAGTTCTGCTACACTTTGGAATTTAACTAGCACTCACCTCAGTCTCAAAGCCTATTCCCAGACTCCAAGCAGGAAGGTCAGCAACGGACTCCTTTACTACAACAAAACAATTCTATATTTCTATCTAATAAAGCACACCTGTCTATCCATCTTCAAACTAAAGTTCTTACTTTCCTAAGATGAGAAGATTCAGTCACTACAGTGACTCTACAGTGATTTTATATTAATTATCTAAAATTCGGTCATAATCTCATTGCGTATTCTGTTACCTTAGACTAAACTGTAAAATTACCCCTCAATAATTTATGTATAGAATTTTTTAAATTGAAAGAAGAATAGAGGAAGGGGTTATGTAGTATCTGGCAGCAGTCTAGAGGCCTAGCAGTCTCCTTATGAGTCTCCATCCTTCTCTAGTTTGTTTCCAGGTCCTCCAGAGAATGAAGAAGTGAGGCAAGGCTGGTGGGTCTTAGCCACAGTGGAAAATGGGGAAATCAGGGGCCAGTGCAGAATGAGGAAGTCAGAAATGAAAGTAATGCGAAGCGAAGGTTTATTTTTGATATCGCGAGTGCATGGCAAAGCTACCCTGTGCCACAAGCTAGACAGCCCTCAATTGAGGTATTCATGGGCCTTTAGGAAGGGCACATATAGGGAGGGGTAAGCTGGTTTCTAAAAATTGTTTCACTGATTAGTGAAATCCAGGCCAATCAGGGTCTTGGCCTTTGTTTCTTTAGTAAGAAAAGGGTCCTAGGGGGTGGGGACACATAGTGTATGTAATAATTTCACAAGAGTTAATTGCCTCAAGTACATTGTGTACAGTCAGCGTGTAGTCATTTTTATAATCGTCAGCCACCCAGGGAATGCCCTACATCATCCCTGTCTATGCACCCCTCAAACTGTCCCTACATTCACCTCTCTGACTCGGTTATCCTACTGCCCAAGGGTGGGAACAGGGTGATGACTGCTGTGGTTGTTGCCTGCTGGTAGGGGTGACTAGGTGCGGGTGATGTCAGTCAAGGAGCAGTAGTCTAGGTGATGGTGGTGAAAGGAGGCTGGTAGCTCCATGGCAGGTTCCAACTGTGGGCCCATCTGCATTTTGATAGCATCAATGTGCTCTGAAATGAAACAGGTAAGGCAGTTAAGTATACAGGGACCAAGCAAGCACGATAAAAATAAAGGTATTAGTGGAGGAAGGACCTAGGCTGAGACCAGAGGTAACCATGACTTAATCTGGTTTAGCAGCTCATTTTGGTGAAATGACCTACTTCAAAGGAAACTTAAAGAAGGTTACACAGACACAAGTTTGAAACCACAGGCTGTCAGCATGACACAGAGGCCGTATCTCCTCTACTTAAAGGGTCTGGTTCCTTATCTAATTCTACCTCAGGGTCTCAGCTGCCCCTAGAGTTAGTTTGTAGAAATAAATGTGCGCATATACCATATTTCCCCAAAAATAATACCTAATCAGATAATAAGCCCTAGCATGTTTTTCAGGATGCTCATAATATAAGTCCTATCCCAAAATTAAGCCGCAGTTAAGATCGTCAGCCAGACAGATGCATTCAGTACATCTGTTGCAACACACGATGGACACATTGAATTATATAATAATATATGATTAAATATTATTGATAGAATCACTTAAATGATATAAATTATAAATACTCAAGTAGGCACTTTTGGACGAGAGGTAAATGCTGCTATGGATTAAAAACTGGTGGTCAATTTAACACCAGCTGAATTAAATCAGCATGGTGCTGCGTGTAGATGGCCCACCTGAAGAAAGTTGCCAGCATAAAAGGATATGTAGAGGAGAGTGTAGCATGGTGGTTCTCCTAAGTGTTGTTGTTTGGAGCTGTTGGTTCTAGAGGAGCTTGTCATGTTGGATTCCCCGACATGAATCGGCTAATATCATCAGAGGAGCTCAAGACCTTGTCACCGAGAGTGGCTGTGGTTTACTTTTGGGGAGCTCTGGGTCCTTATGTTGAGCATTGCGTCCTGGCTGCTGCGGGGAAGATGTGTGTGCTGTTGTGCAGTTTAATCTCTGGGAGAAGCTTGTCACACTGGCTTACTGATATGTACTTAGCTGCTCTCATTGTCTGAGGAGTTTGGGACTTCATTGTTGCTGAGGATGGCTGTTGTACCAGGGGGTCCTTATTTTGAGCATTGCTTCTTGGCTCCAGTGCAAAACCCTCAACCTACTAGCACAGATCCCTCAATCTGCTGGCATGGACTTCTTAACTTCCAGTGCTGACTTTGGGCCTCCGTAGTGTAGATCTATGAAATAGATTTGTATGGAGTCAGTGTCGTGGGCTCTAGGCCTCCAGTTGAACTCATGGGATGCGTTGTCCTGGGCTCTAAGTCTTCAGCTGGACTTACACAGTCATTACTGTGGGATCTAGACCCTCGGCTGGATTTTCTAGGTGTTTAGTGTTGTGGACAAATTTATTGCACTTTCTTGTATTTAACTCTGGATGACCATCATAAAACAATGTTTTAACTTCTGTGTCCTGTGTGTAATTGTACCCCTTACAACACCTGACTACAACAAATGCCTACATGAGCAGATGAACTTAAGACTTACTGCTGAATGACCAGTTGGACTACAGACACAATGCATGAATAATGTGTGCACTTGGCAGTGAAGCAGTGTAAGTTGTGTCTAACATGAATCTTTATGATTCATCACTCATGTGTTGTAATGGGCATATTCAATGCACTTGTGCGAAATAAACATTTCCGGAATTTTGGTGCTTGAAATTTTTTGTCGTTTTGGTGTGGACTGTTTTTCTTAATTGTCATCATTTTTGTTGCCTTTCTTCTCTTAAGTCTTCAGTTAACATTTAATTTAACAGAAACGTTGTGAAACCCAGCCTGTAAGAGATAATGACATGGGTGAAGAGTTTGTGGCATAAAATCAGTGACAGCTATGTTGCCAGTGCACTACAGGCAGGCTACTTGGACAAGAAGTGCTCATTTAAGTGTTGTAGGACATGAGAGATTGGGGCCAGTGTTTGTATGGGAAATGAAGTTGCAAGAAATTCAGCCTGGACTTCAGGATTTGGAGAGTTGTGTTGACATCCCAGAAGAAGATGACATGACTGTATTTGAATAAATGCAGAGCTTTGTACATGAATAAATGTTAATTGTCCTACATGAATAAATGTAGGTTTGTTACACATGAAAATAATAAGATATCCCCTGAATATAAGCCCTCGTGCATTTTTTAAAGCAAAAGTTTAGATCCACTCTTATTTTGGGGGAAATATGGTAGTATGGCATAGAAAACATATTCAAAGCTGTAGAGTTTCAGTTTGTACATGTGGTCATGGGATTGTAGTTGATATGTATGATCTCTTCTTTCTCCACCCATTCCATATTTCCCTTACCTTCAGCAATAATGATGTAGAAAGTAAACTTTCATTCCTTGAGGGTCTGGGTCCTTGGTCATCTTGCCTTGCTTTAGCTGGTTGTAGTTTTCCATTAAGCTTTACCATTGGAAATACTAAGAAGTCCAGAGGATTCCCCTTGGTTCCAGACCTAATCTTCCATTGTACATAGCAACATGATTTCCCTTTGGTAATCAGGATTGATAACCCCATCCATGAATTAACTGGTTCAATAACATAAATAAGCCAAAATTTCCAGGTGGGTATCATCTTTCCATTCTGGAAGATCATTGTTGTACCTCTGATGAAATCACTAGCCTTGTAGAAACAAAGATTTCCACACAGCTTTCCAGAAAAGACTGAAAAAGTTCTTCAGGTGGGTTAGTAGACATGACAGGGGAGCCACTCCCACTCTTTGATTCCCATATTCTGGCTGTGGTAGAGACTGCATCATATAATGATTTCTTTTTCAAAGTATGAACTTCACCTGAAGGACAGAAACCCATCCTTTCAGAGTTTTGTCTTCCATGAGACACTGCAGGTGAGTCCTGTGTAAGCCAGTCTGTTTTTCAGCTAGGGCAGATCGTCCGGATGATTGGATATGTGGTAGCCTAGCTGATTCTGTGGGCACTAGCCCACTCAGGTACTGCTTCTTTTGCTATGAAGTGAATTCCTCTGTGAGATGCAATACTATGGCAGAACACCCTGATGGTGGTTAAGATGTTCTATGAGTTCACAGATGGTGATGCTGGAAGAGGCATAAGGACAAGGAAGTTAACTCTGTTTCTAGGTGTGTATCTAGCTAGTGAGGACAAGTGTCTCTACTCCTTCTATGGTGAGAAAAATCCAAGATGAACAACATTCATTCCCTCAGGTGGCAGGCTGTCCTTTCATGGGAAATGATGCTATTGGCATCATTGGATCAATGATTTAGTGCTGGTTTCTGCTATTGGCAAGTTAGGCACTCAGTAGGGTTCCTTAGGTCAGCCTTGGTAAGAAGTTGATGTTAAACTCTCCTTCCTTGCCACCACAGCCACTTTGACAATGGATCTATTAAAGAATAGTGGGGATACCTGGGAACAGATACTGACTGGTATCCATAAAACACTTTGTTTTGTTTGCCAGATAATTAAGAGTCTCCAGTGGCATGTTCTTTACTGGGTACAGAAGTATTTTCAAACTTTACACTGTTAGAGATGCATTCACATACGTCCCCAAATTTCCTTATCACCAGTTTTTCCAATTTTTTTCCCTTCCAAGTCTGCCACCATCCAGGTAAATCATGTAGAAACTGCTTGTGAATGAATCTAAATCTCTACTTCTGCCCATCTCATTCCAGATATGGTGGATAATCAGATGTACCGTGCAAATTGTGCCCAGATGGAAGATCAAATTGAACAGAAGCACTCAATAAGTTAGAAGAAATAGAAATAGTTTAGGTATCAAATATCTCAATGAAGGATCAGTTTCTTAGTAGAAATTCAGTGAAGAAAATGATTTAGAGAAAGATTGTTTATACAAAAATAGAAGCTGAGATAGCAATACATCAAGATTGGTAGCAACTATAAATTGTTACTGATTTGAAAAAATTCTCATAAAACATTTGAAATATTGTGATGATCAACTCAATAGTAAGTTTTAAAAACACAGATTTAAGAGGTTGTACACTAAATTAGCTAATAATATAATAAATTTCAGAAATTAGTGCTGAGGATACAGTGAGATTAGCTTTTTCTCAGATCTTACTGATGAAATTAAAAAACTGGTAGTTCTCAAAAGAAATTTGGCACTATACGTAATACTTCAAATGTGATGATTTCTCTTTGTTCTAGTATTTTAACTTCTAATGATCCATTTTAAAGAAATAAGAAACCCAGAAAATTTCTTTTTGCATGAAGATGCTCATTATGACACAGAGCAATAGCAGCTTAAACTCTTTGTTTAGTTACTTGTAGAGATGTCTTCTGAATATACTGCACATCAGCTGGATCTTGGTGTTTCTGTTCTGATTAATAATAGGGAGGTTAGAGCTGGGTGTGATGGTGCACACCTAAAGTCCTAACTACTTTGAAGTCTGAGGTAGGAGGAGGATTGTCTGAGACTCCGCACCCAACAAGTTCAAGATCAGTTGTGGCTAAAAATGGATTTAGAAAAGGACGGGACTTGTATGACATTGCTGAGTTTATATTGATTTGCATATAGTAAATTAATTACTAACTTAATCATGTATGTAGAATATAGTTTTCACAAAGATTTCTGAGCTTTAAACATGATAGATTTTTAAATGACTGTTTTAAATAACTTGATTGTTGCCTCAGAGATCATAAATGATATTTTTGTGAGCATATAGTAGAAACATAGAAGAGGGAAACAGAAACGTAGAAGAAACATAGAAACATAGAAGAGGGAAATAGAAAGACTCAGTAAGGGTGAGAAAGGAGGGAAGACAAGGAGTAAATTACAGTATTTGATAGAGAATAAAAGATAATTTTGCCATTTTGATAATAAAATTTTAGTTATTTTCAGTCTGACTTTTTTATTCACTCAAATCATACCCTGCAGTTAAGTAACTTCATGTACTTTACAAGGCATTTCTATATATTATTACATTTGATTCTCAGATAGCAATCTTGCCAAAAATGTTTGGTATTGTAGTTCACAAATTAAGAAATAGTTGCTTTAAATAGGCTAAATGGTTTACTTGAGCATTTGTAAGGAACAGATCTCAGAATAGATAATAATAGATAATGATCAGACCCCCCCGCCCCCCGGGAGGCAGGATGCCCAGGGGGAAATCCATTCTCTACCAGTTCCCTCTATCCCTCAGTCTCCTTATAATTAAGTAGAGTAAATCATGGCATCTATTTAATAGGATTTTGTGACAATTTCAATGAGTTAAACTAAGTGAAGTATTTAAAATGTTTTTGACACATCATAACCACTTAATAAATGTTGGGTATTATAATTTTTAGAAGTGTTTCAGTGATATATATTTGTAGTGTACAATAATTACTACTGGCAATTGGTACACATACACATTTTAATTCTTTTTATATTTTTCTTTTCCTTCCTTTCTCCTCCTTTCATCTCTTGGTCCCTTTCTCATTTGCAAAAGATCTACAGCTGATTCCCACTTTGCTCACATTTTATAACTGAAGTTCATAGCTGTATAATATGTAATCCTTATGTAGTGCATACATAACATGTATGATTCTTTCAGCCAGTGCTTGAATTAGGCAAGGAAAGTTATTATAGTTTGTGATTTAAGATTATTTATTATGAGATAATTTTTCCAAATTCAAATAGTTTTTAAATGACTAAGGTACATAATCTGTGTTTTTTGATCCCAAATTTAACACCTTTATGACTACACTGCAATAAAATGTAAAATAACACAATGTATAAATTATTATTCTAAATGTGAAGTTTGGACAGAGTAGTTTGAGAATTAATATTTTTATGTGGTTTGGATAATGAAAAATTATTTTTTGATGGAGAAAAATGATCTCTTTGAGTGTTAGTAAAATAACCAGACTTGGAGCTGTGAGGTCTTATGTGAAGGAATTAGAAATGATTATTAGAACTGCTTATACATTTTGTATTTAAAAACTCTTCACAGCTACCTCCTCTTCTGCAGTGTCTGCACATTCCTCGTCAGTTATTGTAGCTGTGGTGGAGGGGAGAGGACTTGCCAGAGGAGAAATAGGAATGGCGAGTATTGATTTAAAATGCCCCCAGATTGTACTCTCCCAGTTTGCAGACAACACCACGTATACAAAGGTAAGGTTTAGTAGCCTAGAGGAGAGTTGTTATGCCTCCTTTTTATTTTTTAAAATATGTTTTATCCTAAAAAGAACTTGTTTTCATTGGTATTAGACTATCCCAAGGTTACTGTTAATATTAGTTTCTAAAGTTAGCGTCTTCAAATTAATAATTCCTGGACTAATTTTGATAAGCCTACCTCCAGAGAGTTGTTGCCACTGAAATCGTACTTGATTTTTATTTTTCAAGATTTAAGGGAATCTATTAGATTTATTTATTTTATTCGATTTATTAGATTACTTACAATTTGATATTCTCTTACCTTCACTTCTTATTTGCCTTCATTTTTTATTATTTATCATGAATTTGGGCTACTGGCCTATTGTCATGGGAATTTTTATGATCAGGTAGAGATAATCTATTCCTAATCTCTGTATTTTAAAAAGTTGACTTAATTATAATTACTTTAAAATATGATCTATTAGTATTTTTAGTATTTTAGGGTTCTTTACTCTCAAATTTCCCAGTATTCCCTGGAATATAAGCTTCCTTTTTCTCAATAATAATTAATTTTTTGTTATATTTAACAACCTAAATCAGTAATGGTGAACCTTTCAGAGCTTCCTATGATAACAAACAGCCCACTGTGGCACACATGACATGGACATGGGTTAGGTCACATGACACACTGACCTAAGTAATATTAATGATGCACACTAGCTTTATATCTGGGAATCTGGGTATTTTACAGTGTTTTACATAATTTGTTAAGAGTAGGAAAACTGTTTTGGTTTGTTTTATTCTTAGTGAGAGAAGTTCTATATTGGCCAAGCTGGACTTTAATTTATGGTGTAACCTCTTGACTGACCTCCCTCTCAAGGTGATCTTCTTGTCCCAGCTTCCTGAGTGCTGAGATTGCAAGCCTGTGCCACCAAGTCCTTTGGGATATTTTAAATAGTATTAGACCAACAGATTAATAATTTCCATATCTAGAATAACTATAAGTGCACCTCATTTTGTGAAAAGCACAAAGCGGATATTTTAAATTTTTGTTTTTGTACTTTTCATCTTTTAAACTATGCCAGTGTGGCCAAAGTGATTTTGATTGTATTGGCATCGTTACACTATTGGATATGTTCATATTTTTTTTTTTTTTTTTTTTGTCTTTTTCATTTTTCTCGGTACCAGGGATCGAACTCACGACCGCCTGCTTGCAAGGCAGGTGCTTATGCCGCTGAGCTAAATCCCCAGCCCCGTATGTTCATATTTTTCATAGAGAAGGGTTAAACACTGAGCAGAAGAGTGTCTTTTAAAATACCTTGAAGAATGTATATTTGATGAGCTTAATTTTTGAGTTAAAGCCACTACAAACTACTATGAGTAAAATGTAGTGAGAGCTGGGTATGGTGGCACATACTGTGTCCCAGAAGCTGGAGGCTCACAGTCAGCCCAGCCTGGGCTTCATAGTGAGTTCAAGGCCCAGCCTGAACTATGATTGTGTTTCCAAAAACTAAAAAAACCCCTACATCTAGATCTCCACACACAGACATGCACAGCTTATGTTTTTTTTTTAGATATTTTACATTTATTTATATAGGGATATACATTTAATATGTTCTTATTAGAATATTAGAATTATTAGAATATAGGGATGTACATTTAATATGCTATTAGAAATTTATTTTGATTAAATACATATTAACATAATTTTATTGTCTATGAATTAATTTGAAGTACTTTCAGAAAGACGAAGCTCTTTGTTTTAAGCTTATATTTTAGGAATGTTTAAGAAGCTTATATTTAAGAAATTATTTCAACAATTTCAGGTGATCACTAAACTCAAAATTTTATCACCTCTGGAAATAATAATGTCAAATACTGCTTGTGTTATGGGGAATTCAACCAAGTTATTTACTCTTATCACAGAAAATTTCAAGGTAAACAGTATTAACTTTCAATAATATTCAATTGAATTATCTAAAATATGTTTTATAATATTATTAGAAGGAGCAATAATTTGAGTAATTGTATATTTAGAGTCCTAAAGTAGGAGTCCTAAAGTGGGACTCAATAAATACAAATCCTAATCTAAGGAACTACTAATATCAGAAATGATAGAGAATCCACTAATTTAATTTGACCCCTTTGATCTACTTAAAACAAAAGAAAATATATTTTAAGTAATAAGGAGATTTCTGAGTGGTACACTCAGCAGCTTCCCTAAAACTAGTTACTATAACATCACACTAGTTGAAAGGAAGTTTTCATCCTTTTATGGGATAGCAACTCTCAGCAAGTGCTTTTCCTCTAGGTAATTGGACCTGTGTTACCAAATTGTTTTGCTCCCCGGTAACACATTAGCGTGTTACTGTTGTCTCCATAGTGGGGACTGTGCCAAGTAAGAACTGTGGAAGCCTTTCCAACAAAAGCTTTGTGCCTCCAAGGGTCTTTCTGTCATGTAGTTAATTAATTTCTTCTCTCCATCAGATCTCCCTGGTTTGTAGAAAGGGAGCTATGGTCCAAAACGCAGTGAACAGCTTTGCAGTTGTAATGATTCCTAAGGTGTTAGATAATTTTCAGAACACACAGTATTTTCGTATGTTTGTTTATGTTTAACACATTCGAAACCAAGCTGAAATTTGGGGTCCAATGAGTTCCTATATATTTTTAATGTATCCTAATTCAGCAGTTCTATGGCACTGTAGAGCTTTTGTGTAGCTCATCTGTTTTTGAATCATTGCCAGAAAGACTCCCTGTTCTAAATCTACTTGTCTCTGTGACACCAGTTTCTTTCACATGCTCATCCCTCCTTGCTAAGGTGGAGATAGGGACTGAACCCAGGACCTTCCCACTGGCCTACTTTCCTATATCCACAGCCATTTTCTTTTCTTGCTTTTATTTTTTTCCATTCTTTTCTTTGTTTGTTTGTTTGTTTCTTTTTTTTTTTTTTGGAGACAAGATGTCACTAAGTTACTAAATTCTTCAAGTTGTGTTAGAATTTGTGATTCTCCTGCCTCAGCCTCCCAGAGTATGGAGGTTATAGGCATGTACCACCATGTCCACTTTATCTGTTTATTTTTATTCTTTGTCTCATGCTTTTTCTTCTCCTCCTTCTCCTCCTTCTTCTTCTTTTTCTTTTGTACTGGTAATCAAACTCACTACCTCACACTTGCCACACAGGTGCTGTGCTGCTGAGCACAGCTATATATTCCTTGCCTCATGCTTCTTTTAAGTTATCTTTTTTTCTATATTCCTTTCCATTTTTGGTTTTTGTTGTTTTTCTGATTAGGCTAAGCCTTTTGGTTGTAGTTAGCATAAATCTAAATTAAACTAGTTATAGCAGAAAGAAAACTGACTGGTTTATGTAACTGGAAAGCCAGTGGCTGCAGAGTTCTTGTCCCTACTCTTTTAAAGCCAGATCCCAAAGCGGTAAGGACACATTTTTAGTTAGTCACATACTATTACAATAGAAAGTGGAATTCAACCTCACTTTGTATAAAGGTAACTGGGCATTTTAACAGGAGAGTGAAGAATGAGGGAGGGAGGTGAACAGGGGCTAAGTTAGGAAGTGAAAATTTACAAGAAACAAGAAAGTCTGGTTAGTGCACGTGAAACACATCTCTGTTTGCAGGGTAAAACTCCTCTCACACAGAGGATGAGAGACAGGGACTCGCTCTTCAGGCATCAGCTGAAAGAAACAGTAAACTTTTATTCTTTGACATTCTTGAGACTTTTTAGGCAAGAATTTTTAGAGGAGCTGGGTCATCCTAGAGATGTGTTCTTGAACTGTTAGAAGTGATGTCAATGTTTAGTTTAAGTCTTAAAGGTCAAGGTTGAAGTGTAGTTGATTCTAGGGCTCCTAGAAGCATAGCTAGAATTTAGTCAAGGAGAGAACATTCACTGCTCCCACCTCTTGTACCATTTATTTTCTACTGTGGATAAGTTATCTCTGAGATTTAAGATGATTGCTGATAGCTTTAGGCCAATATCATTTCATCTTAGCCAACTCAGAGCATAAAGAACTTAGTTCTTTAAGTGTCTATATATGAATTATGAAGAAGGATGCTTACTAGCCCTGCTTTATTTTACCAGATTAGATGAATGGTAATTTCTGAAGAGGTTCTGAAGAGGAACCATAGTCAGTTAGTCTGGGATCATGTGCATTGTGCTGTGGGAAACAGAGTATTGTAACTGACAGGTCTACCAGAATCATATGGACTGTGAGATAGATAACTCCTCCAAAGGCCAAATAGCAGTATTTAGTACATTGGAGATGTAAGATGGTACATGTGTTGGTTACTTTTCTCTCATTGCTGGAACAAAATACCTGCCACCCAAAGTTGAGGAAGGAAAGGTTGATTTAGCTCCCAGTTTGTGGAGGTTTCTGTCCATAACTGACTCCACAGCTGGGTGACGTGGCAGAAGGACAGTAGTTCGTGGTGGTGGCAGATAGAAAAGCAACAAGAGCAAAATGTGAGGAATACGGAGAAGACTCTTTTTGTCCCTTATAGTACATGTAGGCCATGCTCACCTAGGCTGGGTACAGCACTCACATCCATAATCCCAGCACTGGAATATGAATTAATCACAAATTCTAGAAGCCTGCCCTCATAACCACAAGGGGCCTGCAGGGGTTGTGGGGACATTTAAACACAAACCATAACAGTACAATGTAGCACAGTGCTTAAGAATAGAGCAGTTAGGACACCCTAGTTTCAAACTCTGTCTCTAGGTGACCCTGTGAAAATTATCCCTTTGAGTTTTAGGGTTTTTGATAAGTACACTGGGACAATAATATTATCTGCCTCTAGAGAACTGATATTTTTTATATGGTAATCAGAGATGGCCTCAGTGATAAAGTTACATTTAAGCAATTCTTGCATGGAGTGGAGGAGAAAGCCATGGAAGCATCTGAGATAAAAGTATACACACAAAGGAGGAAAATCCACATTATGATCATCATCATTATTGCTATTATTACCACACATGCCATTAAAAGGACCCTGGTTAAATCAGAATCAGTATGAGGTAGAAGGCATATGGACTTACAGTTAAATAAATCTCAATTTGATAGAAAAAGTGGCTTGAACTTCCAGAGTTTTACTTACAGGAAAATTGAAGTTAATAAGACATCAGAGGGTTATTGTAAAGATTAAATGAGATAACTTTAAAAACATATATCTAGGCATATATGTTCCCTACCTGTTCATTTCTTTTCAATCCTAGCAGTTCTTTTACAGGCCATTGTTATTATATTAGTTTTTTACTAGTTACTTTTATTCCAAATATGTAAACCTTTCACTTGTAAACCTTTCAACTTCATGCTTTTTATTTTTTTGCAATCTTTAAGAAGTTCTAAAATGTCTTTCTCTTTATTCTAAAATTCACCTCATATAGCAGCATTTCATAGATTTCATAGGTGGAATTGGCTTTCATATTCTCAGTTGGCACAGTATCAGGGTCTTTGTAGTAGACCTGCCGGTCCAGGTTAGGCCACCAATCCCAGGTCCCTCCTGTCCCAGGCTGGGGATGCAGCCCACTCCTCCAAGCTTTCCCTACCCAAGACACCATTTGTTGGCACCTAATACTGCCACTAGTTTGTTCTTCAGACCCAAGACTAAATGAGGATAAAGACAGAGAGACACAAAGTCAGTATAACACGTGGATAGCCAGGAGGCACTTGCCTCTATGGGCAAAGGAGGTCCTGGTGTCTGGTTCCTCCTACTTTTGTTCACTCAAGCACTGATACAAATAATTAAAATAACGCAAGATTCATCTACCTTCTAACATCCATTAGTACATGCTCAAGTAAACAACTAAGGCTCGCAGTCTTGACTTCTCCCTAGAACCTGTGATTTGCCTTTCTCCTTAGTGTTCACGGTGAGGCCAATTAGGCCTCAGTACCCTAAGTGATCTCCCACAAGTCTGTCCTTTTTTAGAGCGTGAAAGACTGAGTGTAAGACTTGTGTGCTGTTGTGGTAGTATAAAGTTGTTAGAAGACAGAGACTTGTATTTCTTTGTTTCGTTTTTGGCGCTGAGGATTGGACCCAGGGTCTTGCACACGCTAAGCAGTTTCTGTAGTACTGCATGACATTCCAACTTTATTTTTCATTGCACTTAACATATTGAGTTACATTTCATGAGAGTAATTAATGTCTAATAATAGCTAGACTGTACTGTAATTCACATAGCAAGTTGGATAACCATTACTTTTTATTAATAACTAAGAAAACTGTTAATTTCAGTGTTGAAAACATTAAAAATAAACTTTATACAATGGCTAAGCCACTTATACACCTACAGAATGTGTTGAAGACAGCAGTTTTGAGCTAGCACATGGCCACTAAAATTTTCATTTTGAAATTAAAACTTTTCAGAATGTTAATTTTACTACTATCCAAAGGAAATACTTCAATGAAACAAAAGGATTAGAGTACATTGAACAGCTATGCATAGCAGAATTCAGCACTGTCCTACTGGAAGTTCAATCCAAGTAAGTTCCATCTTGAGGAAAGTAATGTCATCCAGTGGGGGGTTTCCACAAGGGCAAGGACTTTCATCTGTTGTGTTCTCCACTGTATTTCTACCAGCTAGAAAAGTACCTGGCTCATAAGCCTATATTAGTAATTTGATTTATATAGAATTTGTCCAAACTTATAATAAACTATTGCCCTAATAGTTCTGTTCACTGTACTTTTGAATGAAAAGCTCAGCTAGCTACATAATACAGGAAATGTGAGAGCTCATAAGTGAAATACAGTTAAACAAGTATGTTTCTGTTACTTGATACCTGTACTTCTAAAAATTCATCTTGAGACAGGAAAGATATTTTAAGAGCAAATTTCTCAAAGCATGATAGATAGATACTTTCTTTGAACCTGGTTAGGATCACCTGCTTACACAGTTAATCACAATGGCTGCTCTCAGAAAGATTATAATGTGTTTTCTCACACAGTGGGACCTCTTGATGCTGTCATGGATATTGTTTGAATGCTTAGAGCAAAACTGACACAAATTACAGTTGAATGTTGTCTTCTAACAGGTGATTTTTGGGAGCCTATTAGCCCTTAAGTGATAGACTTAAACTGACTATTTCTGTCAGTTTTATGGGCTAGAGGTTATTTGTCTGTTTTTCAAAAATAAGGTACATTCATTCATTGTACTTTTTCACTTTGAATTTAAACAGTGCTGTTCAAATGTTCTTAACTGTCCTAATATTAAAGTGAAATAAGTATTTCCTTTTGTAGCAATATTTTTTTTATCCTGAAGACACACTATTGTATCATTGGTTACCTTACAGGTATTACTGCCTTGCAGCTCTTGCAGCTTTGTTAAAATATGTTGAGTTTATTCAAAATTCAGTTTATGCACCAAAATCGCTGAAGATTTGTTTCCAGGGTAGTGAGCAGACAGCCATGATAGATTCAGCTTCAGCTCAAAACCTTGAATTGTTAATTAATAATCAAGACAGCAGGTAAGTCATTCAATATTATTCCAATAGTATTTTTGTGTCACATTTTTCTATAAAGTTACTTTAATGTTATTTAAATTGTTTGATGGAGAAATATTGAATAAACATTTTTAGTCTTTTAAAAAACGAAAAAGACCAAAAAAAATCATTGTCCATTATTGATGAACTACTCAGATGTCTCACCAAAACCAGGTCTTAAATAGATATTTGTATTAAACAACTCAATTCAAAACTGAATAAAGGATCTTAATAGAAGCTTCTCCAAAAATGTGAAACCAATGACCAATGAGTACCTAGTCACTAGGGAAATGAAAATCAAATCCACAGTTAGATACCACTTCACACCCATTAAGATATGGTTTAAAATTACTTTATTATTGATTTTCTGTTATCCTTCCTATGTTACTGTAGCACAGAAAGTCAGTGATCAACCTTGGTATTTATTGCAAAGTGTTTTATGTTCAGTTTTACCTTGTCATGTTTCATACTTCACCACTGTTTTTCACTGTCAAACTCTGCTTGAATTCCTGCTATGTATGAGGAATACAGAGATTTGAAAAAATATCTGACCTCCAGGTGTTCATCGATAGTTGAAAAGGAGAGACTCTGAAGCATTTTTAGAGACTTAAATCAAAGAATTTCAGGCTACAAGTTAGAAAGCCTACGGGACTATCAGAATAGCTCTAATCCTTCTATGATCTTGTTATCTCTTTAACACCTATTAATTTCTATATCAAGTAGCAGACCTGCATATGCTACTTAATTTTTCTGTTCCTACAGAAATGAAGCCCATAAAAAGAAAAGAAAGAAATTGTACACATGATAACCTCCCAGCCAGTTGATTTAATTAGTTCCTAAAAATATAAATTGCTTTGACCAAAATCTGATAGTCTGATGACTAAAACTTGAGAATTCTTACACCTCAGATTCAGCCCATCCAAAAATTTTCTTGACTCAGGCTTCACAGTCTGTATCAATTTTGAATCTCTTCATACTTCTAACGATAACACCTTAACTCAAGCCTCTGTCATCTGTAGTCAGGACTTCAGCCTCCTAATTTGTCTTCCTGATCTCCTACAATTAGTATATTCTCAAAATAGCAGCCAATGTATATTTTTAACCCAGAAATCAGATCTTGTAACTCTACTGCATAAAACCTTGTGGTTTCCCTTACACTCAGAATGGAACCCAGCCTCTTCACTATGATGTACAGGATATCTATGTCCTAGTCCTTATTAAAATCTTCATTCTCCTCTCTCCATTCTTATAGCCCCTGCCCCAGTCACAAAGTTCTACCAACCTTGAGTTTTCTAGATCTGGAGCCAGACTTCTTGGGCTTTAACTTCTGCTCTGCTGCTTAGTTGGAAAGTATTTGGATTACTTGGAAATCCTGTACAAGTATTTAATTTCTTTGTGCTGTAGTTTCTTTAGCTGTAAAAGGTGGCTAGCAATAGCATCGCTGTTAAAATCAATTCCTGGTACATATTAAATGTTATGTGTTAGTTGTCCTAATGGTTACCGTCGTCAGGCCCATCTTATCATATTTGCATCTATGCCCATCTTTTTTTGGCATTGAGGTCTTAAATCAACTGTCAGGTATTTAAGGGAAATATTTTCCAACTTAACTAAAGCAAGCAAAGAGATCATTCTCTGCTAATTTTTTAAGCATTTTTGATGAAATTAATTTCTTTCTTTATGTGATTGTGTGTTTATTATGTATAAACTCTTGCTCTTGTCTTCAGTCAGGCCATAACAAAAATAATTGGAAGTCACTAACCTGTAAGGTCTATGAAGACAAGGATCTTGTCTGTTTTGTTTGCTGAGGGCATAGCATAGAGTTTTAATGAACCAGGTATTTCACATTCATCATAGCTGTCTCATAAATAGTTCAGTAAAATAAATTCTTAACAGTATCTCATTTCTTTTAAGGAACATTTAGAAATGATGAAACTGTCTTTTGCTTATAATTCTGCTATAATTTCTTCAGTTAGAACAAAATTATTACATTAAGTACTTATCAATGTCAAAGTCCTCTTACCTTTATGGATATATTGCTAACATTTTGCTATTATTGGTTGAATGTTATGAATTAGAAAATTTCCTATTAGTCTGTATATGATAACTGATGTGTGGGAAAAAAATCACCAAATGCAAGGAGATACTCTTGATCATTGTTAGTCACAAGTTCTTCCTAGACTTACACCAGGGAATGTTCAAAAGGTAGATTCTCAGGTGTTATCCCAGACCTACTGAATTAGAATCCCCTTGTAATTTGCATGCAAAATAAGGTTTGAGAATTACTAATGTAATTATAGCATTATTTAATTACAAAGTTAAAATGCAATTGTCTTGGAATTTTTTTTGTATACTTAATGAAATTCCTCCACTTATGTTTTCAAAGAAATAATCACACTCTCTTTGGTGTGCTAAATTATACTAAGACTCCTGGAGGGAGTAGAAGACTTCGTTCTAATATATTAGAGCCTCTAGTTGATATTGAAACCATTAACATGAGATTAGATTGTGTTCAAGAACTACTTCAAGATGAAGAACTCTTTTTTGGCCTTCAATCAGGTAAATGAATATTACCTAATTTTGTAAATACAGATTATTTAAAAAATGCAATTGGTTTAGCTGAGTCATTTTTTATAATTTTCTGAAGTAGTAAAAGTATACAATTTTACTTGAAAGTGCTTTCTGAAATTTTCCTTAGAATCCTGTAGTAAATAATTTCAGAGGCTTGTTTTATATTTTGGTTTCCTGGATGCTATTTTCCTTTTTTCCATGGGCAATTTTTTTTTTTTTTTTTGCCTTTTTCATTTTTATCGGTACCGGGGATCGAACTCATGACCGCCTGCTTGCAAGGCAGGCACTTATGCCGCTGAACTAAACCCCCAGCCCCCCCCATGGGCTATTTTAAAAGACATTAAAAAAATCTTTCTCCATGGTAATACTCATGTATTACTATAAATAATACTATTACATGTAAGATGGAGAAAGACGATCATTACAAGTAATAACTGTAGGTAGAACTGTTCTATTATTCAAGGTAATTTTTATACAATCTATAATTTCAGCTGTATTATAAAATTTAAATGCTCACATTTTGTCTGTTTCAGTTATATCAAGATTCCTTGATACAGAGCAGCTTCTTTCTGTTTTAGTCCAAATCCCAAAGCAAGACACGGTATGCTTACATATATATTATGTTACTGTCGTACCAGTATGATATAATTTAATGTAACAATAGAAAATATCAAATATTTTAGACGAGTACTTTGTTATTATTCTATGTATTATGGTACAATAAAAAGCTTCTTAGATAGTTAAGAAATTTGGCTATTTTCATTGATCACATATATAAGGAGTTATATATAGTTTTTTAAAAGCTTAAGGTGTAATAACATTTACCTAATAACTTACTAAATAAAAATTTTGTCAGACCCAGCCAGATATGGTGGCACATGCTTGTAATTCCAGCATTTGGTGTGGTCAGGCAAGATGAAAAATTCAAGCCTAGCCTAGACAATTTAGCAATTTAGTGAGATCATGTCTCAAAATAAAAAATAAATAGGAACAAGAATTTTTTTGTATGGAGGTCCTGCATTCATTTGGTGGTGGTAAAAAAATTAGATACAAAGTAGTATCTCAAAGTATTATCTCTATGCAGTTCAGGCTGGCTGTGAGCTCCCCGTGTAGTTCATGGCAAACTCATGCAGCTCTCTGCTTCAGTCTTCCAAGTGCTCGGATTACAGGGCTGTGCCACCATACTTGGCCAAAGAGTATGTTCTCAAAAGAGATCAGCATGTAGAGTTTCATTAGCTTTCAAATATGTGTCACCTTTAAGAATGAAGCCCTGGGGTTGGGGATTTAGCTCAGCGGCATAAGCGCCTGCCTTGCAAGCAGGCAGTCGTGAGTTCAATCCCTGGTACCAATAAAAAAGAAAAAGACAAAAAAAAAAAAAAAAATGAAGCACTAAAGGGGCTTGGGATTTAGCTCAGGGTGCTTGGGATAAGCACCTGCCTGACAAGCGCAAGGTCATGAGTTCCAGAACCAAAGAAAAACAATCTAATCAATAAATTTTATAAAATTGCAACAAATTTCATAAAAACAAAGAAAATAACCATTTATTTTGGGGACCTTTTCCATATTGTAAAGAAAATACTCTGAAGGTTAATTTTAATAAAACAGCGTAGGTGAAAATGTATTAGCTTTTGGGCAAGCACAGCACTGGAAGTTAAATCACTTTTTAATACAATATACACAAGTGGGAGGTAACCTGAAATAACTGATGTGTAGAACAAAAGTAAGTGACTTTGTAAGTGGAGTTTGGACATATTGCCCCCTCTTCAGTTTTCTGGTAGAGTTTATGTAGAACCAATGTATGTTCCTTAAAGTTTTGATAAAATTCATAAATTAGGTCACTGGCACCTGTAATTTTTTTGGTAGGAAGGTTTATAACCAAAACTTAGCATTTAAGTTAGATATGGTGCTATTCAGGCTATTAATTTCTTTTAGGTTTAAGTGTCTTCCAGAGAATTTATCATTCCACTCTATTTTTCAAGCTTATTGGCATAAAATTGTTCACAACATCATTCTCATTATACTTTTTTAGATCTGTAAAGTTTTCAATGATGTGCTGTCTCATTCTTGATACTGATAACTTGACTATGCACTCCTCCAGTCCATCTGGCTAGGGATTTTAATTTTATTGCTCTCCTTGAAGAACTAACTTTTGATCTCAATGATCTCCCCATCTTTTTTTTTCTTGTGCTGTTTCATTGATTTTGGTTTTATTTCCATTCTTTTCCTTATTCTGCACTTAGCTTTTACTTTTACTCAAGGTTCTAAAGGTAGAAGCTGAGTCATTGATTTGAGATCTTTTTATTCACTAATATAGTTAGTACTAAAAATTTGATCATGAATAGTACATTTGCTTTGTTCCACAATATTGGTATTTTGTTTTCTTTCTCATTCAAAAATGTTCAGAAACTTTTGGCATTCTAATTTGTACCATTTCTTTGATGTATGGGGCATTTAGAGGTTTGTTGTTTATTTCTAATGTGTGAGGACTCTCCACTGCCTTTCTGTCACTGATGTCTAATTTACTTCCTTAGTGGACAGAAAATAAGAGTTATATAATACAGATCAATTTACTTTATTGGCACTATTTCTATTGCCCAGAATAAGATCTATCTTATGTTCCATTTGAACTTGAAAAGAATGTGTATTTTTGCAGATTTTGGCTGGAATGTTCCATAAATATCAGTTAGTTTAAATTGATTGATGGTGTTTAAATTTTTTTTGTATATGTATTGGCTTTTTGTCTATTTGTTTTACTGGTTACTGAGAGAAATGTGTTGAAATCTACAACTATGACTGTGAATTTGTCTTATTTTTTTCTTGCAGTTCTATCAGATTTTTTTTTTTTTGTACCAGGAATCAAACTCATGACAATATGCGTGCCAGGCAGGTGCTTACGCTGCTGAGTTGTATCTCTAGAAATTCTTTCAGTTTTTTTCTTAACAGCAGAATACATTTATTGAGGGAAAGAAGGCTTCTGTCTGAGCAAGATACAGAAGGGGTCCTGAGTAGGTTGCCCACTTCTGTCAGTTTTTAGCTAATGTATTTTGAAGTTCTTTTTATTAGGCATATAAACATTTCACATCATTATGTTCTCTTAATTGTATCCTTTATCACTAGGAAATGATCTTCTTTATCCTGAGTAATGTTCTTTGCTCTAAAAATCTACTGTGTCCATTATTAATATAGCTCTAGTTATATTAATAACTACAGCTTTCTTTTGATTAATATTAAAAAGATATTTTGCCACCCTTTTGCTTTTAACATATTTGTGTCTTTGAAGTGAGTTTCTTACAGGTAACATAAGATATGGACAAAAACATACAATAAAATATTAAATTTTAAAAATTACATATTTCCTTTAGTCTCCCTCAAAATATACCCCCTTGGTTCAAACACATGTATTCAGTTTTTTTTGCAACTTTATGAAGCAATGCTAGAAGTCTTCTTTTCTGTCTTTATTTACACTATCATAGCTGCATAGGTGTCCTGAATCAATTCAATGACCTTTTATGATCACTTTGATTTTGGGGAATAGCTAGACGTCAAACAATGCCAGCCCAGTGAGAAGGGTAGATGAGGGAACATGTCGATGTCCGCTCCTGGCCGGCAGGAAGGACACACGACAAAGTCTGGCAGTGGACAACCTTTTCTTTTATTTTCCTTCTCCGTACAGCCTGCCCTGGGATCGCTCCCAGCCGAAGCCTCCTTTGGTCCGCTCCCCGCGGCTCCTTCTGGGCTTCTACTTCCGGGCTTCTCCTTCCCCCCCAGGGGTGGCACCAGTATATATACGGATACAGTGTCCAATCATGTTAAAGTAAGCAAGGCAAGCTGATTGGCTAACATCATCAGTTGCCAGGCAGACTATATTGTTGAGCGGGTTGCTTACGCGGTAAGCAGGAAACTAACGTGCTCGATGGGAGGGGTAATCTACCTCAGGCTTTACTCTTTACTACAGGCCTCACGTCCGCCAAGTGAGGCGACCGGGCTCGGGGCTGCGGCTCCCAACATCTCCCCCTTTTTTATTTTTTTTATAAATGTGCGCATCGTAGCCCTTCCTGGACTGGGTGCAGAGGCTTATGCCCTATGCGTAGGCCCACCGTAGGTCCTTGGCTTAGACCCTGGTCGGCCGTCCCATGGTCTGCCAAGGCCCTGAGGCCCTCGTCCTTTTTCTAGGGCCAGGCACAAACTGGACGGAACCTGGATGCACACAAGCTTGCACTCATTTCCTCTCCGTAAAGAAATCCCCTCGGAGAGAAATTTAGACCTGGGCAGCATCTAACAGTCCAGCGGCTTACGTGCAGGATGGGGTAGGGCCTGGCTTAGGTTGAGTCGCACCGGGGGAGTACGCTCTTACCCGTCATTGACTCTCCTACCCAGCTATGTCATAATTTTTTAGAGGAGGAGTGTGGGAAGCTCACCGCCCCTAGACTCGGTCGTAGGCTAGGCGAGCGAGCCATGCATATGCCTGAGGATCTTCTTGTCCATTTTGGGCTACCGCTATTTCTATTCATCTTGTTGGTCGGTCTGTGATGGATCTCCGGTAGGGCAGGTCTGATCTTCAGTCGAGGGCTTTGTCGCCCGTGTCAGTCTCTCCGGTACCCACAGTGGTTCTCGTCCCGATTCCTGTGGGAAAACACAAACCGCGCCTCGGTTCCAGCTGACCACTGGATCCGGGCCCATCCATTGTCCTGTCAGGGCATCTTTCCACTTCACCCACCCTTTATGGTTGGGGGAAGGGTTGCAGTGCTCCACGGCTGGGGAGCAATTATCATTATTTAAATTTTAAAAATTGTGTGTGAATAGTGCCATGGATAATCGTGCCTTTGGGGCCAGGCCTTGGCCTACTCCCCCTTTTTGTTTTTGTAAAATTTCTTTGAGGCTTCTATGAGCCCTCTCAATGATTCCTTGACCTTGGGGATTGTATGGGATACCATGTTTTAATTGAACCTCCATCATTTTGCAGAACTCATTGAAGGCTTTGCCTATATAGGCTGGTCCATTATCAGTTTTTAATATTTTTGGTTTGCCCCATGCGGCCCAAGCTGCCAGGCAATGATTGATCACATTAGACACTTTTTCGCCTGTTTCTGCTGTTGCAAATATGACGTGAGAACAGGTGTCTGTGGAAACATGAACATATTTAAGAGTCCCAAACTCCTGTATATGTGTGATGTCCATCTGCCAAACATCACCAGGGATCAAACCTCGAGGGTTTACTCCCATCGGTATGGCAGGTTTGTATGTGGCACAGGAGTCACATAGTCGCACGATATCTCGTGCATCTGCTCTGGAAACATGGAAATGGTTTGCTAGTGTCCTGGCATTGACATGAAACTTATCATGGAAGGCACGGGCTCGCTCGATTGGTGTTAGTAAGGTAAAAATCCATAACGGGCGAGTGGCAGTATCAGCAGCCGCATTCCCCTGTGCCATGGGCCCCGGCAGGGATGTATGTGCTCTTATGTGGGTGGTGAAGACCTTATGGTGTCTGTTCTGAAGCAATGTCTGGATAGACAGGAACAGCCCAGCCACTGTGGAAGTGGATCTAATTAAACCGGCAGTCTCAAGCACTTGCATAGCATTGACCACATACCTAGAATC